ACACGTACAGTACACGTCTATCGTTGGAGAATCCTCGCACATCTGAGGGTCTGACCCTGTCTATCCCTCTTTTAAAGCGCTCGTCTTTGCTCTTCCCTTTCTCTTTCCTCTATCGCTCTAATCCACATATGCCTGTGCATACATCATAATACGTGCTCACGATACTTTCGATTCGTCACTTTTCCGTCGTAGAGTTCCCATTTTATAATTACGTCACAGCCTGGTGATAACAGAGAAAAGAGACAGATAGGACGTCGATATAAGTCACAGTTATGATTTCACAGATTTGAGACAGCTTGATAGCCCGAACGGCCCCAGGCTTTCGCCCGTGCACACTAAGTGACTTTCATTACAAGCATTTAGCTTTCCGAAGTCTATGACAACAATTGTTTGGCATTGACGGGCGCGAATTTTGTGCCAATAAGCTGCCTCGACTTGTTCGATTATGTTATCAACTCAATTTCATATTTATTTTTACATTTTCACTTCGCGGTCCTTCTCTGTTCTTTTTCCGTTATTTACACGTGTAGGTCATTTCATTGTTACCAACATTTGATATCATCATTTATCACATACTTCCATGACACTCTTGTCTGTCCGCTACAACTGTCAAGAATTAACGCGATTGGCGAAGCGTAGTGACAGCGGGCCAATAGAGAGCAGGATCCTTGCCATAATGCGGTTTGCATGCAAATTTTCGTATGTGCATTAATCAAGCCGAATAGTTTGGCCGAATATACTATTCGTTACAACACTAATTAATATATTTTTTCCGCGCATAATCGGTTATCCGAAATATCGATTTTCCGAACAACCCCAGTCCCACTTGATTCGAATAATCGACGCTCTACTGTATATGCAAATAATGTAGATACTCGTAACTGCCACTAGAGGGCCAGAAGCAGTTTAAAAGGTAGATAAAAATGATAAAGGTGTGAAGAATTTCTTTGTGTTTTTAATTGTAAAAGTGTCAGAACCTACAAGAAAAGGCTAATACTTGGTCTTTTTTTAACCTTGTGAAGTTTTTTACCAACTTTTACCTGTGTTTAAGAAGAGTTCTTCAAAGCAATTTTTTAAGACTTACTTCTGTGGTAGTGTATAAGGGATAAAGATGGACTCAAAAGTTAACTTGACTTTTTGTAAATAGTCTAAACTTCAGTTATGAAGAAAATACATCCTGAGTTATCACAAAAATTGTAACTATACCAATTACTTTTTTTAATTACTAAAACGTCAATTTACTAAAATGTGATTTAGTAAATTAATTTTTTATAATACAAAAGGTTTTAAGGACTTTTTTATCTCCAGTTGTAAAATATTTTTATTAGCAACTAACATTTTCGATCTTAAACAGATCTTTAGGTCTGAATATACAACCAAACTAGAATGTGAAACAGAACAGGGCTGTGGAGTCGCGTAAAAATCTACCAACTCCAACTTTTCCTTACCGTCCGACTCCGGCTAAAACACCTAAACTCCACGACTCCGACTACGACTCCACAGCCCTGCCAGGGCTGTGAAGTTGCGTAAAAATCTACCGACTCCGACTCTGACTGACTTTTCCTTGCCATCCGACTCTGATTCCGACTCCGACTCCACAGCCCTGAATAGAACATAACCAATAAACAAATACATAATGTAAGTTAGATAGAAAATGAAATAAAATACAATAAAAATAAAATATTGGAAACAATTTAAATTTATGAAAATTAAAATAAGATCATTTAAATTAAATATAATATGCAGTTATAATCCACATTTATAAACCATGTTTAACATCAATTTATGGGAGATAATTGTTTTTCATGTAAATATTGCCAAGCTTTAGATAGAGACTCTTCTATTTCTATTTTTAAATGAGTATGTTCTATTTCATTTTAATTTGGTGTGTATTCAGACCTGAAGATGATCTGTTTAAGATTGAAAACATTAGTTGCTAATAAAAATACTTTACAACTGTACAAAGGTTTTGTGGACATTTTGTATTTCAACCCCAGTTCATTTGTATTGCTATAGAATTATTTAATTTTTTACATCATATAGTAAGCATAATTATCATAAGCATCTTTGTCTATGATATCTGTAATTATCTCTAGAAAAGAAACTAATTAAATTATTAATTAATTAAAGTATATGCAATAAGAAAGATTTATGTTTTTCAAACATTGTTATAAATGTTTTTATATATTTTGATTTTTTAACCAAATGTTCAAACCGTTTAAATTCGAATTTGTTATTATTGCATATTGGTTCAATTATAGAATGATTGTAAACATTCCAGAAATTGATCAAATTAAAAACAGTTTGTTTGATTCTCAGCAGTAGGTGTTATATAACAATTATTATGGTTGTTGAAATACTGAATATAAATGGTGTTTTCTGCAAAATCTGCATGGGCAAAGTCGTGGGTAACAGCTAGTTTAAAATATTATTTCTGGATTAATAATAGGTGATGAGAATTTTGAGTGTATTTATAAAATAACTCTAAAGATGCAACATTTTTTATTTCTGGACCACCAGGCTTTGGGCGCCTTAAAAAACATAAAAAGTACTGGATAAATTTTCACACAAATTTGTATTTAGTATAATTCAAAACAGAAATTTTTTTAACTAGTCTAAAAACAAGTGGTCAATATGTTTCTTCTTCTAGTTTACTATCTACAGTGATCCTATTTTTGAAAACTGAATTTACAGAATCTTTCTTGGAAATATCTACTAGGTAACTGACAGTACACACTAGATCATTTGACAAATGCAAACCAATGAGAATCTCTTGCTTCAAAGGCACTTTCTTAAAAATGGTGACATAATTACGTGATAATATCTGCAAAAGAGCACCATCTGCATTATCCTTTTCATGGTGTTTTACTTCAATTATATATCCTATATTTTCTTTTGCGATAGCAAGAATATCTAATCGAGGTGTACGCCTGATATGAACACCCAATTCAGCCCTAACATCAGGAAAGTTTATTACATCAGATTTAATAATGTGATAAATATCACTTTGTAAGATGAAATGATTGGCTGCAGAGACTGTGGATTATACAAACCAGATGTACTTAATGCAAAACGAACATACAGCTTCTTGTCATTTCCCGAGTGCCCTCACTTTCTAGGAATGACTGAGCCTTGTGAGGTTCAAACAAAAGTTTTCTGTAACTTAAGTCGTGCAGAAATGAATGCGTTAATTAACTTGCTCTTAATTTCCTGATTCACACATTTTGTTTTTAGAGGATGACTCAGTGTCCTCAGTAAGAAGGAAGTATCCAGACTGTGCAAAATATTGAAAGAATAAATCTACCATAAACTTTATGGGATCGTGTGATTATGTGAAATGATTATTGAGAAGGTTTTTCAATTGGATGATGTGTTCAATCTCTAACTTTGACACTACAGTAATAGGATGCTCCAGGGTAGAATCTTTTAGAACAGTGTTGACAACATCATAAATAACTTTATATCCAAAAAAGGATCCAAGTTTACTTGAACCAATTGTATTGATCCAGTAATAACATGCTGTTTCTTTATTTATGTATTTGATGATGGAAAGGGGGCAGTAGATATTTATACGTAGATCACCATCAAGTACATGGTATCCATTATACCAGAGTTCAACTTCTTTCATAGTGTCATCAAACTTTTTAGTTTTGAACTTATGCATCATAAGCAGATTTGACACTTGTACAAATCCAAAGAATTTGTAATAGTTGACTTTTGCTCAAAAATGATTTATGTTCTACATTATTTGCACCCAATGATTCCAGTGCTCCAATTGGCATTGCAGCACAAATCAGTGTTCTTTTGAAAGTGCTTTCACTCTTTCCACCTTTAAATATGTCACTCATAAAGTTTCTAAAAAAGGCAGAAATATTTTTAAGATTGATTCAGGTGTATCATCAAATATCACTTTGGTAACAGGTGTGTGATATTCATCAATGAACAAAAACACTCCTTGACCAGTTTTTTGAGTTTCAAAATGGGTTGATAAAAGTTTGGGTAGAAACAGAAAACCTTCCATTACAAAATTCTTCTTTTCCTCAATATTTTTCATTGCCTTCCAATTATTTTTCCATATGTGGTCATCAAAATAGGTCAAGAAGTGCTCTATATAGTAGTTTCTCATTAATTCTTTCTTAGACCAGACCCAAATCTTTCATCATTTTTTGGTGCTTTTGTAATCAGATATGAATGTTTTTTAAATTTCTCATCGATAATACTGTTCAATCTAATCAAGACTCCTTCCAAGCATGTCCCCAGTAATATATATATTTAATATGACGATTTTAGTCTCTGTAATCCAAAATTATTCTTGGTAGACAAATCTCACAGCAATCGTATTGGCAAATTAAATTTATTTTGTAAAGACTACATCAAATGCATTTCCGGCTGGTCTAATATTTTCAGTCCCTCTTCAGTGAATAACCGCTGGTGGTAATTACAATGATATTTCCATGGGTAGGGGTGGTAAACTTTGTACACATTTGTAGTAATCAAGTTTAAGAAACCTTTCCACACACGTGTATAATAAACATACTAAAACCAACCAATTATTAAAAAAATTCTTTGACAAACAATTGTATAGATAATTCCAAAGCACTACAAATTTTAACATATTTTTTAACTTTAACCATAAACCAAGCATGTCCCCGGTAAGCCTTTAAAGTCGACAGAAATTATAGGATGTTGACCACAATGTTCATAGAACCATTTTCTGTATGGACATAAGCCAATCGTGCACTTTGGCTCACAATGGCACTTGTAAATATTCATTTTCTTAAAAGCCATCCAACTTTCTGACATGCTCCCCTCCAGAGGCACATAGTTTCCATTTTCTTCTGTTACATTCTTGATCTGCTGTCCATTGGCATCATGTTTTATTCCAAAANTTAATAAAACTTTATTAACGCTGAACTCAGTGAATTTGTATCCAGAAGTTATACAAATATTGCCGTGAGTTTTTAAATTTATTTTTACTTAAAGATGGAAACTGCAAAATCGCTTTTCTTTTTATTGCTGAAGCAAGTGAAGATGTGGCAAAAATTACTTGCCCAATTGCAATTTCTGTTGATATGCAGAACAAAACAGGTAGTACCAAAGAGCATACAACTCAAACGCAAGGCATTCCCAGTGTGCCTGCGAGGGATGCTTCCGAAGGTAGAAAAATCCTTCTTAGCTAAGTTAATCAGGAATAAACACAAGTGCCTCGCGGAAGCAGAACTACAAACGTATCAGACGCATCTGCAATTCTGTAAAACGTGTGACCCTGCTACGCTATATATCGAATTAGGAAAAATACAGAGAATAGTGTCTAATTCTACGCAGGAGATAAGAAAGAAATTAAGTAAAAACTTCAATGGTTAATGAGCTCATCACGAATAAAGAAGGCTGGTAACAACCACTCTGTATTATAATTATACGGAAGAGGAAGTGCCCATCGAAGTGCACGGCATACTACAAAGGGGACCCAAATATATCTCCCCTCCTAATAATACTGACCTCAACCAGTTAGTCCCAGTGGCATTGGCAGCATTGAAATCCTGCCAGGTAGCAGCCACGTACCCACAAATGGAGTTAGAAATCGTCACGAAGCTTGCGGCGACGAAGCAAGTGTCCAGCATGCCTAAGCACCACGTAAATCACCAAGCAGTAAAGCAATTCCTAGCTATGAATAACTTGAGGCTTCTGGTCTCTGATAAGGACAAACGATTCATTCTGTGCAAGGAGGACGATTTCATCTTTAGAGCCAATGAGTTCCTATCGCAATCACAATCACAGATAATAAACAATGATCCAACACCAACAGTACTGCAAAGTACAAAGAAAATAATAGCTTTACCAGGAGTAGCTTTGACTCTAACTGGGTGCCTTGATCCTCCCACCAATGTAGCATGCCCTAGGCTATTCTTTCAGCCGAAAACACACAAAGCAAACTGGCCGTTACGCCCACTGGTAAACAAGAGATCGCATCCTACATATTTCCTTGAAAAGGCATTCGCAAAGTTTTTGCGTAAACTTATTCCGGAATCACCATATGTTACCCCATCGTCTACAGCTGCCAAGTCCACCATTGCTTCCAGTATGAGGGGTACACAATAAGATTCCTATACTTTCTACAAATTGGATGTGGTTTCCTTATATCCATCGGTGCCTGTTTTTGAAGCCGTAATGCTTGCTAACTCCTTAATCATCAAAAAGGGATTCAACATACAACAAGTGCTAGACATACGTGATGCGCTGACATTCATCACTGAGCACAATTATTTCCTTTTCAACAAGAGCATCTGCTTGCAGAAATGAGGAGTTCCTATGGGCTCCCCGCTATCTGCAGTCTTGGCCGAGCTCATTATGAGAGAAGTCGAGTGTAGAATTTTCAACTCACCTCTTACCATCAGTTATCTGTCGCTATACTTATGTTATGTCGATGATATCCTAATAGTGTGGGAGAATACAGAAGAGGGGTTTATCAAATTTGTGCAGCAACTTTCAAGCATATACCCTACTATCGGTTTCACTTGGGAGAGGGAGCATGAGGACTCAATAGCGTTTCTGGATCTATGTATACAAAAGTCGGTTGAGGGGCTGCAATTTGCTGTTTACCACAAAGCTGACCTGTTACCATATATTATCCTGGCAGATACTTTCCAACTGTTGCGGTACGTCAATGCCGCCATTGCTGCACTCGTTAGAAGAGCATTACTGCTTCCGTCGACACAGCTAGCAACAAAAATTGAATTAGACATCATTAGAGTAGCAGTATCTCTTGCAGGATTTACATATGCCAAATATAAACATGTGCTCCGTAAAGTAAAAGAGGCCCTATACCCATGTACCACGCTGTACAGAAAGGAAAAAGCATCCGTGATCCGGTCATCGTTGCCGTATCTTGGACCAACCTCTATACGTATCAGCCGCATATTTCAGCGATATAATTTCATACTACCCATAACCCCCATACCAAACCTACGCAGATGTATCTGCAACGATCGGGACAGGCTAACTACTTTAGAAAAGTCAGGGGTTTACACGATACAACTAGAAAATCCGGTAACGGGAAATATTACAAGATACATAGGAGCAACAACAGAAATTCCGGTAACAGGAAATATTACAAGATACATAGGAGCAACAACAAGAATGCTCGCCTCCCGCCTTGCTGAGCATCAGGATGACGTAGCCAAAGGAAGATGTTCTACAGAGCTTCCTAAAAAAGTTCTCGAGCAAGGCTACAACCCATTATGGCCCAGAACGGAAATAATCAAATGCTGCAACAATCGAAGGCTTGTGTTTATCTGGGAAGCGCTTCTCACGGCTACTTCAGAAGCGTGCAATGTTCCCACCCTCGATCTACCCGGGGTGTGGATTGCCTTATATCGGCACCTAAAAAACGAAACACGCCTAACATTGTATCGCCAACACGGTAGCATTTCCACGCATCCGTTGCTAGCATCGTAAAATATAAAGTTTCGAACATATCAAAAATTATTTGCACGTTCTTAACGGAATTTCCTGACGCCTGTTTGAATTTTAAATATTCTGTTCCTTTGGAACATCCTGCACGTTGTCTTATTAAAATTTGTTCTTTTCACCTGAAGACGACGATTATACACTTGTCGAAAGTGCTTGTGTTAATACTAAAGGAACTTTATTAACGCTGAACTCAGTGAATTTGTATCCATAAGTCATCTGTAGAAATCTGGCAACTTTAATGTCATGTGACAAACTTAACATTCCTCTTGATGTGTTGATTTTTGTCTTGTATCGTTCATAAATTTCATATTTATTTTCACATTTTTGTGAATATAGACAAAAACAAGCCTACTTATATTTTGTAATATAAATTATATTACAAATGTCCAATTATTATCTCTATAAGAAAAACCTCACAATACAATTTCCATTGGGAATGTAATTTTCTGGTGAATTAGATTTATTCTAGAGGGCTTTGTATTCATCTGAAATAAATGAAGTAAACTGGAAATACAAATAAACCAAACACTTTATGCAGCTCATTGCTGGATTTATAGTATTACAGATAGAAGAGAATCCAAAATATAAAGTTTTAATATGTTGCAAGTATTTGGAAAAATTATGCAATTTGTAGAATGATATTGATTTTTTTATAGTAATAACAAAACTAAAACTTAGCTCCATCCAGTATAAATTTAAACAACTAATTCATGCTAAAAAAATGTTAACTACATATAGTTGTTGGCACATTGTTATTCAAACAACCATTTCCAATCAAAAAGATGGTAATAACAGGCTCAGATCTTAAAGCTTGAAGAATGGGCAACAACTGACTAAAATAAGCTGTTCTTCGTCATATTCATAAGTGTAAATTCCCTAGAGGTGACTAAAAGTTGAAGGAAAAGTGTCAAGGTGTCACTGTGAGGTTGCTGATCTGCATGTATTAACAGGATAACTGAGCAGTTCTTAATCGAATGTGGGAGTGTTTGACAACTCTCCAGTTACAAAATAATTATCTCAGTTTATTATAACTTAAAAATATAGCTTATAACTTACAGCTACAACAGTCAACAATATGTAGGTGAATTCAGGTCTTCCAATTTATCTCTTTCTCTCAAGGTGTGAATGTCCTACTGGAACTATCCTTCCTGGTCCCTTTTGGGAAGTTGACGGCCCCAGGGCATTGATTGGAGAAAATCCGTTAAGAAGACAAGATGTAATCCAGTTCGAAGTTGGAATGCAGAGATTTTTTTACTGAGTATGGTGTCGCACAATAGAAAGGCAGGCGGGAAAAGCTCTCTGTATAAAATTGTGATTTTTATAACTTTTTCAGGTTCCAGTTCGACCATTCTGATTGGTTGATCCTACTCATCTCCACTTTCCAATTGGTCATCATTTATTACTAAGTGTAATGAGATTGGAACTCAGATTGTGGGATGATTCAACATCATCTGTCAGTTTGATCCCAATCGAAGATGGCTGATGTTAGGACTTACATTCTTCTATTGTTGAAATATGAGAAGTACTCTTTTTTCTTATAATTCCATTTAAACATGTCCTTATATGGACATGAGATTTCTATCTTTTTATTTGAACAGTTTTATAAGAAAATTTTTATATGAGAAAACAAAATTTTTCTCTCTCTCGTGTGGTTCCGGTCCACTTCTGGAACCTCACATCACTATCAACTCTGAGAAAGCATAAGTTGGCACTCTCTCAAGTCAGAAAGTTGACATATATGAGCTTATGAGGTCATCATCAGGTTTTTTTTTTACTTGTTTGATTCTCTCATTGTCTAAGGAGTGAAATTACAATTTCAATCTTGATAGATGAAAATAGACTTAATAGACTGCCATTTTATTTAGTAATTATTTACTCCTGATTTAGTCTTTGTAGCCTGATAAAGAAATCTAGTTGTTCACTTGATATTTACTATGTTTTACTCAGCATTACATTCAGCTTGGACATACTTTTATTTTGTGTATAGAACATTAAAAATCACTGAACATACACAAATAATTTTGATTCAAAAGTGTTCTAATTTCAATTCCAGTTTGTATTTTATTCTGTAATGAGTGCTGATGATAACTCATATAGAGTCAACGTTTTAGTAATTAAAATAAGTAATTGCTATTGAGTATACCAATTAATTGAAGTTTAGACTACAATAGAGCGTCGTTTATCCGAATCAATTGGGGGCTCGGGTTGTTCGGATAACTAATTATGTACAAAAAAATATATTAACCTATCCCATCCTGAAATTTTTCTCCGTTGCATGTCGCTTCGCTTTTCGTCGATGTTAAGCCTAACGTAAACTTTTTAAAATAATAATTGTGGCTATTGTATCGTTAAAAATTATTTCCTTATTTTGTACAAACAAAATAAATATATTGAAAAATATAAAAACAATAAAAAATTATACTTCAGAAGTTAATTTAGTATCAAAAACGTAAAATATTTGAGTAGCCCAAGACATAGCCAAAGATTACAGCGCCACAGCACTGGCAAAAATTTAAATTTGTTGACTGGAATTCCTTCGGATAACCGACCTT